GATTATGCTGATACTTACATTTTTTAAAGTGATTATACTGATACTTACATTTTTTAAAGTGATTATACTGATACTTACATTTTTTAAAGTGATTATACTAAGACTTACATTTTTTAAAGTGATTATGCTAATACTTACATTTTTTATGTGATTATACTAAGACTTACATTTTTTAAAGTGATTATACTGATACTTACATTTTTTATGTGATTATACTAAGACTTACATTTTTTAAAGTGATTATGCTAATACTTACATTTTTTATGTGATTATACTAAGACTTACATTTTTTAAAGTGATTATGCTAATACTTACATTTTTTATGTGATTATACTAAGACTTACATTTTTTAAAGTGATTATGCTAATACTTACATTTTTTTAAGTGATTATACTAATACTTACATTTTTTATGTGATTATACTAAGACTTACATTTTTTATGTGATTATACTAAGACTTACATTTTTTATGTGATTATACTAAGACTTACATTTTTTATGTGATTATACTAAGACTTACATTTTTTATGTGATTATACTAAGACTTACATTTTTTAAAGTGATTACGCTAATACTTACATTTTTTGCCTATCAAATACTCTCTTCACTCTAATAGCTTTCTGTTCAGAATAAATTTTGCAAACCTCTAGAAAAATAATCAAAAATAAATATCTGTCATAAACATGATGATTATGTTTACATTTAATAAATTACAACAATCCAATAAGTTTTCCAATGAAGTATTTATATTCAAATATTTTATCAACACATGTTATAAAAACTCAGCTTATGTAAATTAATAAAACATATTAAAAATGTGTTTAGTAACCTTTCAAGTAGCTTTCTATAAGACTCAAAATGGCTTCTTTATGTTGAAATGCTTGATCAGCAGAGAACTCTTTCTTCACTAGAAAAAATTAAAAATAATTTTTAAGCTTTACATACAATACAGATAACAACATAAACACATATACAAAAATTGTAATTTCTTAATTCAATAAAATGTTTTAAAATATTCTCACCTTCAAGTTAAACAGTGGAATAATTAAAGTGTTTGAATTTTTTGCAATTTTAAAATCCTCTTTTGTATTATATTTTACTCTTCTTCCATTCAAGCTGTATATTTTCCCCTGAGTGTATAATCTTAACTTATTTTGTTCTGTTACCTTCCATGCAATTTTTCTGTTAAATTTGGATTTCTCATTTCTGTAATGTTATGTATGCACATAGTCACCTATATCAACTCCTTCATTACATAATATAAGGGCTTTGTTAAATATTAAACATGAGGACGGATAATATACTGTACACAATTAATACTAAAACCTTTAATAAATTAAAATTGTCTACAATTTTTTAATTTGAAACATTACTATTTTTTTCTGAAAGACACAGTAAATGAATTTTTAAGAGAAGTGACAGCAAGGAACCTTTGGTGTCCAGTATGTTTTTTCATTTGTAGTTAAGTACAAGGTTACACAATGAGCTATCTGTGCTGTGCCCACCACAGGTATCAAAACCTGGTTTCTAGCATTACAAGTCTACAGACTTACCACTGTGCACCCAGTATGAAATGACATTTTTTACACGATCTTTATTCATACGCAATATATCATTTTTGACACACGGAAAACTATTTAAAATTTCTGTAAAAACCAGTTTTACCATTTTCAACTAACAAAAACAAAATGTCCAAGAAGTTTGGCCCTATAGAAACAAGAAAGATTGAGAGTATTATGAACAAAATGGGACCATTTTGTTTTCCATGGAAATATTTATCATTAGACTTATGGAAAAGCTATGAGTTTGAAACTTGCTCCTAGTTTAGTTAACTTCTTAAGATATATTCAATACTTGAAGTGGGAGAAAAGAGAAAGCAGGATGGTTTGTGAAATTTTTAAAGCTGAGTTCTATGTTTCTTGTTTTTAATGCATATTATTATAAAAGTAACTATATTATAAAAAGTAGAAACTTATTAGTATAGATTAGGTATGATAATAATAATTCTTCATGAGATATACTCGTGAGCAGATCATGCTTTACGTAATTCAATACAGTAATGTGAGCTGCACATTGGGCGAGTGACTTAGAACTTGTGTGGTGGAATTATTTGTTAGATACAGTTCAAAGAGCAATAAAATTAAGTATAAACAGATGTATACTGTTATGATTTATTGTACGAAAATACTGATGGTTACTTTGTGATTACAAATTCAGTCATGCTGACTGAGCCATAGCAAGAGGGTTCATTCACTCCATCCATGTAATACTTTGTCTCATTCCTTCCTTACAACATTTTAAGATAAAAATATAGTTTCTGTCCCCAGTCCCTTGATGCTGTAATTATTTATTACATTGTCTATTAAACCTTAATCTTGTGAAAAGAAGTGGAATGACATCCTGCAACACTTTAAACGTTGGTTAAGAACACATATAAACATCTACTTCAGTGACCAAAAAATTAAAACCTTTACATCATCAGTAGATGCATAGCCAGTACAACAGAGTGGGGAAGTGGGGGTCTTTTTTCAAAACAAATTATGGGACTTTTCTTAACAATGAATAATTCAATTGACTAGCATGAAAGTTAAGTATCTATTAAAAAACAAAATCAGAAGATAATGGACATTTTAGGCTTTATTAGAATATTGGGGTTGTCATTTGGCCACTTCCTTGCTATGTCCCTATACATCTAATCTTTGTCCCTTTGTAACACAGTTTATTTTTTACAGTACCTAAACAGCCATTACTCATATGTCAAATTTAATGTTCAAGAACTATTTTATATCTTTCTTAAGAGTTAAATGTTATTAATCTGGTTAGATATATTTTTCAGTATTATTTGCTATAACAAGACTACCCTTTCAGTCTCAAGGAATTGGTAAGCATTCTTGTAAGTTCAATCTTAAACCATATTTTTCACTTTCACGGGTTTCTTGATCAACTGAAGAATTTAAATTTGGTGACGAGGAACCCACTTTGAGACTAATAATGGCTGGAGACGGCTTGAATGGGTAATGAAGAAAAACTTTAATATAAGTTTAACATAACAACAAATGTACAACGTTTTGCCAAGGTTTTACCTGATGATGACAAAACCTTGTCGAAAC